ATATAAATATTATGTAATATGCATTTCTAATCGATACTTTAGGAAATAATAAAATTTCACCAAGTGTGAGTGCGGTGTATTTATAATTCATTTAAACGGAATTGTACTATTTAATTCATTGGTCTTGAAAAACTACAATTATTCTTTTCGCATAAAACTTTTTTCAGAGAGCAACTCCACTCAATATTTTTTTTTTCTTGTATCGATATTATTTTCACTTACTATTCTCGTCCGAAGTGTGTGATTTGCTCTCAGATTCCTTGTCTTTACCATCCACGTCAGTGGGGTCGTTAAGTGCACTAGATTCGTGATTGCTATCGTCCGATAAATGCAAGGCTATTTCTAAGTCCCTAAGTACTTCGGTCTCTTTGGCGTCAATCAGCGAAAAACGATGATGCAACGCCATCAGGTGCGCAAAGGTCAAGTTCAAATGTGCATGCAACCCCAACAATACCACCTCTCTGAAATGGGCGGCGTAGAGGTGCGCTATAACGTGGAACAATAGTCTAACTATCTTCCGAACTATAGACGCGAACGATGACGGAAATTCGTTAGCTGAAAAGACATTTGAAATATAGAATTTTAGATACCTTTATGTTTAAATGAATAATAGTAAGATAAGCATGGGTTATCTATTTCTAAAACTAAAAGTCTTAAACTTTTTAAACAAATATCTAATACTGCTACTTATTTAGCCTCAAAATATAAGACTTGAAATTGCACTGGTTTTTAAGTAAAAAGTACTTTTTACTTGTTAACTATCGATTGAATTTTAATACAAAATACGTAATTACACGTTATTAAAGCAAGTGAAAAAATTGATGTAAAATTGGACAGTATTATTTAGTATTTGTTTAACAACAAAAAAAAATGAATGTAATAAATATTTGGTGCCTTTACTATCCGGATTCTATTCAAAAATTATGAAAATTTGTAATCTGAATAATTATTTCTTTTTTAATAATGTTATGTATTTACTTACCGTATTTAGTAGGAAAGATATTTTCATCACTAATAGTTTTTTGTATAAATGTCATGACATAGTCTATGTACTGAGGTGCGGCTACTTTAGTTTTTTTACCTTTTTCGTCGAACCATAGGTAAGTTCTAAAAGTAAATCAAAAAACATTCTAATTAATTAGGGGTACATTACAATTTATTTGTTTTCACGAACCTTTGGCCTGGTCCAGTCATATCAGGACAACTTGTATTTGTGCAAAATTCGCTTATTGTCCCATAAACTAAATTCACATGGTCAAATAGAGCCATTGCTGTAATATGAATTGCAACAAATACTAACAAAACCTTAATTTTTTTAAAAATTGCCCAAACTAATTAAATTACTAACAAATATTTGCAAATTAATAACACATGCTTAAATTTTCATTGTTAATTTAAACTAAACAGTAATTTGAAAAATCCTGTTCATTTTAGCAGTAGTTATGGCAATAACATCGTTTAAGAAATCATTTAACAATATTTCTTGTTTATATTATACATATATAAAATACACATATTTTAAGAGCTGAAATGCTTTGATTTTTAACAGTTTATAAACATATGACTGACTTACTGTGTGATGCAAGCCATTCATTGTAATCTAGACCAGCGGGCAATTCTACTAATGTTTTCATGTCCATATCGGGCAATTTTCTTTCTAGAACAGCTGCTTCTAAGTATAATTTTGAGTCGGTTGACGTGCCAGTTTCGATGCCTTCCCTTTCTTTGCGCCTTGCCTTCCTGTTAAAAAGAAAAATAGAAGTTACTG